CCGAGTCCTCCAGAACCCCTTGGAGGTAGAGACAGACAGATCTCTGGAGCTTGCCGTCCATCTAGCCTAGCTAAATGGGTGAGTCCTAGTTCCTAGTGAGAGACCTTGTCTCAAAAAAATAAGATGTGGTGGTGCACACTTTTAATCCCAGCACTTGGGAGGCAGAGGCAGGAGGATCTCTGTGAGTTCAAGGCCAGCCTGGTCTACATAGAAGAGTTGCAGGCCAGCTGGGACTACAGGGAAAACCTGTCTCAAAAACAAATGGAGAAACGATTGAGGAAGACATCCCAACATCATGCTCTGAATTCCACACATGCCTCTGTAGATTGGCACACCTACACATACCACACACAGAGCTGTTGACCCTTGGCCTGTCCACATATGTGTACACACACACACACACACACACATATGAAAGACTGTTAATTTTGACAGTCCAGAGGGAACACTTGGAACCCAAGCCAGGCCTTGAAAGCTATGCTTAAACAGGCTGACTGGAAAACCTGGGGACCATCTTTGGGTTGAGCTCTTAGGGTCATAATCAGGTCTCTACCCCTCATGGGCACCAAGGTAGTTGTCAGCCTTGGGCATTCTGGGCCTTTAGGAAGGCTGATGAGTTGGCAGGGTCCCCCTGAACTTGAATAGGATCCTGCCTGCTGCTGTTCAGGCCAGGGCCCAGGAGGTGAAGCCCTGCTTGAATTGGGAGATGTTAATCACCATCGTGGGTCACCGTAAATTCGCTAAAGAAGATTACTAGTTGACAAATGAGACCTTTACCCTTCTCAGTGGCTGAGGTGGGGCTCTGGAAGAGTTTGGCCCTGACGGCTGCCCCACCGACACTCCCTGTATAAAAAGCGGGAGCTGTTTCCTTGGGATGGCACATCAGAATGTTCAGATAAGCCACTTGTGGTCTCTCATGTCAGCTAGCATCACAAGTTTGAGGCCAGCCTGGGCTACATAGTGAAGTCCAGGCCATACTGATCTGCAGAATGAAACTGACAGAAAAAAAAAACAAAACTTGAGACAGAGAATGGTGGTTGTGTCCCAGGCCTGTAGTCCCAGCTCTCAGGAGGTCGAGGCAGGAACATGTAAAGGGCTGGGACAGGAGCATGTAAGGGCCAGGCCAGCCTCATGAGTGCAGATCAGCCCACACTACAGAGTAGAGCCTGTCTCAGAAAAGCAAAACAAGGGCAGCTCCTCAGCCCCAGCCCACGGATGGTGGGTTGATGGGTTCAGATGGTTTGTTTAGTGAGCTTTCAGGAGGAACAGAGAGGAACAAAGGCTGGTCTGTACGGCTGCTTCTGCAGAGGGTAGAAGCCTTGAGGAGGTACTATGGAAAGACTTTCCAACCCTAGAGGCGCCATTAATAATTACGCCAGCTTTACTGGTGGGGCTTCCAGGCTGGTTTTTTTGTTTGTTTGTTTTTTTTTTTTTTTTTTTTTTTCCTGTTTCTGTGATAAAATACCTGTCAAAAGCAGCTTAAAGGACAAAGGTTTTGTTGAAGGTCCAGTTAGTCATGGTGAGATGTCATGGTGGTGGGGGTGTGAGACAGCTGGTCATAGTGCATCTATTTCCAGAATTCAGAGAAATGTACACTGGTGCTCAGCTTCCTTCCTGATTTTCCTGGAGTCCAAGACTCAAGCCCTTTATAATGGGTCCACTCACCTCAATGAACTTAAGATACGCCCCCCACGGGCATGCCCAGAGGCTAATCTAAATTATTCCTCACAGGTGTGCCTGGAGGCATGTTCCCTAGGTGATTCCAGACTGTCTGGTTGAGAGTCAACACTAACCATCACAAAGTTAATCATGAGCCTTGGAGTCTTGTGTTCCAGAAGTTTTAAAGCCCTTTGACCTGATTTCTGACTTGCTTTTAACCAAGGTCATGGCAGTCTGTGTTTATTGAGAGATGGATGGTGGGCAGCTTTCTGTGGTCTAAAGCTTCTTGTGAGAGTCTCTGTACCCATCAAGCCATGTGTTTATAGTAAAGTGCTGATCAGTTCAGTGTAGAAAGTTCCAGAGCACAGTGAGTCCATCAAGCCATCCGCTGTTTTATTTCCAAGCAGTACAGGGCGCAGGCCGTGGGGACCGAGGACCCTGAATTTTCCCTGCATTGGTCATTGGTCCTTGGTGCTTGCAGCGTCTCTGGTACTGAAATTTCCAGAAAGGGTTGTTTAAAGATCATTTATTTTTAACATGAATCGATGACATTTCTTATCCAAACATTTTTTTGTTCCAACCCTCTGTGAACTCTAGAAACAGGGAAGATGCATAACTAGTCCCTGTCCTCGACCTTCTGAGAGCAATGTCCTGGGAATGGGTGAAGAGTAAAAGTTGGGCAGGATGGTTTGTTTAGTAAGCTTGGTAAGCTCAGGATTCCTCTCTGGACAGAAGCTGTGGGTGCAGTGCATCACTGGGGGTGTGTTAGAGTATGTGGGGCGGGGGGTCGGGTATGAATGGCCTGGCCCTGAACTTGTGCAGCAGCAGGCCTGGCAAAATAATTATTTTCATAATCTTTTGGCTTAGTGTTTTAGACTCTGAGAAATCCCCTAGAGAATTAAAGCATTTTCTCTCTCTCCCTAAGTAAACTCCAGTGGTGGGGTCAGCCATTCCCTGGGGAGGGCAGAAGTCTATCTTGCATCATCCTCAGATTCCCAGTAGCTCAACTTTGGCCAAACACCCCGACCAACTAACGGCTACCTCCCCACCCTGCTACGCAGTGCCCCCAGCATGCCTGGCTGTGCAGCCCTTGTACACCTGGCACCTGGTCTTGGTGTACAGTGGGCATGTTCAGTGTTTTGCCAGCATGAATGGAATCTGACTTAGGAGATTTACTCCCTTAGGACTCCATGGCAAAAACTGGACATTTTTTATGGCTATGCAATTGCCCCTCTGCAGTGCCTTTTGGTTTGGTCTCTTACTGATGTAATTACTTGTCTGTGTCTTCTAGAATTTTATTATAAAATACAAGCTTTTATAATTGAGCTTATGTTATAATTCTATCTTTGTAAGGGTTGTATAATTTCACAACCATCAAGTATTTTATAAGTTCTTTGAAATAATCCCATGTTAAAAACAACAGGAATGAGTTAAAATTATTTAGGAACAAATAATTTTTATGTTCTGGGTAAATCTTTTAACTTTCTCTTGTCACTGCATGAACTGAGCAAGCCGCAGACTTTAAACTCCTACTTGTGTTACCTATGACTTGCTTTCTTTTCAAGAGTTATTTTTAGCAGAAGATGGCTAATGGCTTTTCTCTATATGAAGGTAGAAATGTCTAAAGCTTTTTTAAAAATTTATTTATTATTTTTATTTTATGTGTATGGGTGTATTGCCTGCGTGTAGGTAAATGCACACGTGTCATGCAATACCTGTAGAGGACAGAAGAGGCTGTCTGATCCCCTGGAACTGGAGTTATGGACAGTTTTTAGCTGCCATGTGGGTGCTGGGATTTAAACCCAGGTCTTCTGCAAGAGCAGTCAGCGTCCTTAACTACTGAGCCATCTCTCCAGCCCAGAAATGTCTAAAGCTTGTAAAAAGATTACATTTATTTATTTGTGCCAGTGTGTGCATGCATGTGCACGTGTGAGAGAGTTGGGGGCAGTCTTGCACATGCCATGGTGGGTATGTGGAGGTCAAAGGAAAACTTGCTGCTTCTCTGTTTCCACCACATGAGTCCCAGGATCGAACTCACATCATTAAATTTGGTAGCATGTGCCCTTAGCTTGGTGAGCTCTTGTCTAGGGAATTTAAAAGCAGCTGTTATTTAAAAAATAAAAATAAAACAGGGGGTTGGAGAGATGGCTTAGTGGTTAGGAGCACTGACTGCTCTTACAGAGGACCTGGGTTTGGTTCCCAGCACCCACATGGTGGGTAACAACTGTCTGTAATTCCAATTCCAGGGGATCTGATGCCCTCTTCTGGCATCCATGGGCCTTACATGACACAAGAACTGTGTATGCACTTAAAGGTAAAAGACCCACACACATAAAAATAAATAAAATTTAAAAATATAACAGCAGCCCACCCTCACCTCTCTCTGCTTCCCTGGGCCTGCACAACCTGCAGGCCTCTCTCTGACCCACAGGCCTCTCTCTTCGGGTAGGTCAATCGCTTCCCCCGCTCCTCGACTCCCCCAACCTCATTCACCCATCTCTCCTGCTCACTCATTCAGTTTTATGTCTTACAGGGCTTATACTGAGTTCAATATTGTATGACTGTATTAATTCAACTGTGAACCTAAAAATTTACAGCCACCTTTGAAAGAGATGTATCTTTGCTCTGGAATGTGTTACTGAATATGTTAAAAGCTGTAATGAAATGCTTCTTCTAATCATGTGGTTATTAAATTTAAAAAAATTAAAAAGTAAATAAATAAAAGAAAAAAAAGTAGTTTAATCTAGGTCAGGTGTAGTGATATACACCTTTAATCCCTGAGAGGTGCGATCCAGGGGCCAGGGGCTCCTCCATGAGAGGTGCGATCCAGGGGCCAGGGTCATACAAAGCAGTGCAACTGGAAAAATAAAACAATTATGAAGCACAGGAAAAAAATGCAGGTTTAATTATAAATTAACTTGGATCATTATGTTATTTTGTTAATCAATGTATGGTTATGATGTATGGTCTTTTATAGTTTAGTTGTAATAATGAAAATATTTATAACATAGATCTTAACACACAAAAAAAAATAACTGCAATTTTAAGAAAAGTTTAAGGAAGAAAACCTGTGTTATATGTGGAAAAGCGCTACAGCTAGATCGGGGTAGGACAGAATTTAACTCCTGAGAACCCCATCAGGAAGCCAGGGTCTGATGCAATGTTTCCAGTTTTCAATGGTTACATGATAGAAAAGACTGAGTTATTGGATACAAGGTTGAGAATAAAAATTCTTGCCCTTCCTAAAGTAAGAAGTCCAGATTATCCAGTGAAATAAAGATGTCTGTGGTAGGTCCTGCCCTTACCGTCCTCTAAAGATTCCTGGTTCCTTTCTCCCTCAGGTGGTGGTCTGTCATGTGGTGGGCGAGACCCTTCAGTTCTTGGTCAATGTGAAGCCTGCCTCAGCACAGGCAACAAGCACAGGATGTCAGCTCTATGACGTGAGGCTCTCCTCGTTTCATTTAAAGGTAAGGCTGGGTGGATGCCACAAGTCACAGGAAATCACTGTAGACTCGAAGTGGTATTCTCTGCCCTCAGTGGAACACAGGCTGAATCAGCAATGGCAAGTTACAGAGCTGTGAAAGTCAGTGTTCTTAGCAAGCGTGTCAGGCCAGCATCTTTGCACTGTAATCCTTTGTGAACAAAACTCAGAACAGCATACAGCGCACTGAGCCAGTGTGTTGAGGACAGTTGCACATGCACGTAGGGCTCACAGTGCCTGGTCTTTGCTTGACTGTGGAACCTTCTCCAAGTCCTCACATGTGCCCGTTCTGCTGTCAGTCCATCCCATTGTTAAAGATGCTCATGATTCTTTTGGCTCACTGGAAGACCCGGGACATGCCCCCTACCCCACGGTCTAGGGCCTAATCGCACCTGGCAAGTCCCTTTTTCCATGTCTGGCCCCCTATATAAGGCTGCAGGGGTGAGGGCCTGGCCACGTTTCCATGGTTCTTCCTCCCCAAGATGGGTGAGACTATTCAGGATGGGAACCAGTCAAGGCTGTTGGGGCGGCCCAGGCAAGAGGAGGAAGGGTGCCATGGCACTCTCTGTGTTGTCCCTAGAGACTTGTGAACATGGCCTCTAGGGGAAGCCCATGCCCAGGACTGGCGAGAACAGATTCTCTCCCCTCTGCTGTGCCTTGGTGACATGCACAGAAAGAGGAATGCAGTGCATAACAAGTTCCTCTCTCAGACGAGACGGCAGTCAGTGACACCTAGCCTCCTTGGGGGCCAGCTCAGGCAGAGGAAGGGCTGGGAAGGGGGTTGGGCATCTTTACTTCCATGCTGAAAGAATATGTTAGGCTAAGGTGGAGAACAAATGAATAAAAGAATGCACACAGAGCACACAGCACACACAGCAGGCACACAGAGCACACACTGCATGCACATAACATAACATACACATAGTAATATGCATGCAAACAGCCTGTCCCATTGTTAAAGATGTATAGCATGTACACATAGCACATGCAGAATGCACACACAGCACAATGCACATACAGAGCATGCACATAATAATATGCATATAGTACACATATAGCATGTGCACACAGCACACACAGCATGCACATAGTAATACACAGCATGCACACACGGCACACTGCATGCACATGATATGCATGCGCACAGCACATACAGCATGTGTACACAGCACGCAAAATGCATACTTGGGGTATGCGCATACACGAGGTACATGCACACAGCACACACAGCATACTCATACCCAGCATGCACATACAAAAGGTGTGCGCACAGCACACATGTACAACACATGACACTGCACACATTCACATACCATGAACGGAGCATACATGCATAGAGCATGCACACAGCATGTACACACAGCATTCATATACATTATGCATACAGCACATACATACAGCATGTGGACACATGCACATACCATACACATAGAGCTAATTACAGTCCTGGTGGGGAGAGCAGCTGTTTGTAACCTCTTCTTGGTTGTTTGTTCGAATAGCTGGAGTTCCACATGGAAGAGAGGAGAGAGGACATCCAGATCAGGTGGTCCTTCATTCACATGCCAGAAACAGCCGTTGAGATCCAGCCCCGGACCCCAGGGGAGGTCAGTCCGTAAGTTTGTCTTCTTCCACTGATGTGAGGATGTGTATGTGGCAGAATGTGCTGCTGAGGAGCTGAGGTGCAGATGGGGCGGCTCTGAGGTGGGCAGCCCCTGCCAGCTGCCCTCCCTATGCTGACTCCAGCCACATGGGACAGGACACTGAGGGGACAACTTAGATGGAGAGGATCCTTTCCCTCCATGCTTCCTGGGGCCTTGGGAACTGGGCTGCAGTGCGTGTGTGCGGAGTGGCCTGGGTGTCACTTTCCTTTGTGGGACAAGGAGTTCCTTCTGGCAGCTTTCCTGAGAGCCCCCTGTCCTTCTGCCCTGGCAGACCCTACCGAGGCAGCACCCCAGGTGAGGTGTGTGGATTTAAAAGTGCATCTGCCAGTGAAGTTTCCTTGCCTTTCCCCTCTCCTTTTGTCTTTTCTTCTCGTAGTCTGAGGAATGGACCCAGGGCCTTGCAGAAGCTCAGCAAGTGCTCTGTCCTTGATCTGCATCCCAGCCCTGTCAGTAGATAATTCAGCCTTCATGCTCTGGTCTGTTCGTTTGTTGTCTTTTTTTTGTAACTTTTTTAATTGATTTTTTTTGTATTTCATACAGAATATCTTAATCATCTTTATACCCTTTCTCCACTGGCCCCTTCCATAGCGCCCCCATTGACTTTCGTGCATTCTGTCATTTGTGTTAAGATCTGTTGAGTCAAATTAGTGTCCCCAGACATCTTTCAGTGCACGTTCATCCACTGAGGTTTAGTCAGTCTATCTAGAGTCCTTCCCTTTAAGAAGGTCAGCTGTTCCTCACCCAGCAGTGATCAGCTGCCAATAGTTCTTTGGCTAAGATTGGGGCCTGCTGCCCATTTCCACAGTTCTGTGCTAGGTTTCTGTAGGTTCATATGAGCAAGATCCCAGGAGCCTGGAGAACTTTTATTTCCATATGGTCCTGCACCTCCTCCCTGCCTCTCACAATTATTCTACCCCTCTTCTCCACAATGGTCCCTGAGTCCTAGGTGGGTGATGTTTAATATAGGAGTCTTGTCCAAGGACCCACACTCTGCAAACTTATTCTCTCGTTTGGCCATGTGTGACCTTTTGCATTCATGGCCATCTGTTGCATGAGGGAGCTTTATTGATGAGAGTTGAGAAACGCATTAGTGTCCTCCTCACTACTTGTTCCACTGTGCTCCACGAGCCTTAGGTGTAGAGGTTGTACTGTACATGTGTCACTTAGGGCTGGGCAATTCACAGACAGTCTTTGTGTGTGATCAGTTGTGGAACTCTGTAATTTTTGTTGCCTTTTTGAGACAGGGTCTCCCTGTAGCCCCAGCTGGCCTGGAACTCACTCTGTAGACTGGGTTGGCCTCAATCTCACAGAGATCCACCTGCCTCTGCCCACCAAGTGCTGGGATTACAGGTGTGCGCTACCACACCCGGCTTAGCCTTCATGTTTTCCCGTACATGTATACAGTGTCAGCATTCTATGTTGGTTTGGCTGGTAAATTTGAGTTACACTTCTTTTAACTTGCATACTTCAGACTTGTAGCTCATTAGGTGCCATCCCACCCTATCCATTCCCTCCTCCTCCTTCCTTCTGGCTTTTGTGACTTTTCCCTGCTAATTACATCTCGCCCCGACAATGACATCTGTCCAGGCTTGCAGTCAGTGTGCAGCTGTATGTGCTGTTCTGTGTTCAAACATTCCGTGAGTCATATCCCCCTCGGGGTAGCTATGTTATCGATCTAAGTTCATTTGCCTCCGTTAGTATCCAGCTGTAGATTTTCCCTCATCTTCATTGATTTGTGTATGTTTTTGACTATGGAAGATACCAGCATAATCTGTAAGCTAGCACCACGGGAAAGCTAGACTGGGAGGTGGCTCTGTCTGCTCCGCTCCTCAGCCCCATCCACACCTGCACACTCATGTCACTGTTTTATTTCTTCTGGCAAACACAATCTCGTTCCTCCTCCTGTACCCTGTGCTTCCTGCTCCCCATCCCTGATACCCCATCCTCCTGACAGACACCCTATAGGATTCTCTGATGGCTTTCTCTATGGAAGCACTCTGGGATTAATTAATCTGCTCTGTAGTTGACTGTTCCTGAGTCTATGATCACATCAGACACCTGCCCTCAGGACCTGAGCTCCTCAGCCACCTTGCCAGCCCACTCAGCTGAGTGAGAAGCAATTGTGCATGTCAGAACAGAGAGGTAGAAGCCCAGTGTGAGGCACAACCATACTGTGGAGTAGTATTCAGCCAGATAAAAGAGTGAGATGCTGGTTATGTCACATCCCAGCAAGCTTTGCAAACACCAAAAGAAGCTGACTCAGGAGGCCACATATATGATTCATCATGAGGCAGATCCAGAGAGAGAAAGACCAGTGGGTCCAGGGGCGGGGGTGGGACTCCTGGTTGGGGTGAGCTCTGAGGTTTACCTTTAGGGAGTGGAGAAAATGTTGGGAACATGTTATGATGTCCCACAGGACAGTGAACATTTAACATTTAAACATTTAAAGTGGTTATGCTTATGTTGTGTGACTTACATTTCCCCTTCTATTTTTT